CGGCCCTAGAAATTTCCTTCTCTAGTGAGGTGATAAAATTACCGCAGAGGTGGTGGTACTGTCGCGACTCCGGGAAGCTAAAGCTTTTGCCTCGCCGCTGTGGCCATTGCCATTCTCAACTCGAAGCATACGTGGCGTCTGCGCTCTCTCGCGTACGACGTGCTCTCTAGCGTTTCTCTCTCCTCGCAGCGCTGTGTTTCTGAGTCCTACAACGTTCCGCCTCACAAGAGAAAATTTAGAGTTTTCTATGGTGCTTTCTGCTTTTGTTCCCCTACTAACCACTGGAGATCCTCTTCAAATTTCTTGCTGATTTTCGAACAAAATAACACATCAGTTCGATTGCGACGGTGCCTTTGAGGAGTCCTTTCTTTTTTGATTTCGGTATTACATTCCTACTAGACAGCGCATTCGTTGAGGAGGGCAGAAATCTTAACCGATACATCGGTTCGATATCACTAGTGAGTGTTTGAGGTGAATACACCTTCAAATGCCATAAATTTCTAAATGGAAGCGTGAAACGTGGCGATCCGAGAAGGACTGATCTACGCTGACGATTCAACCTTTTTTAATCCAGCGTTTGCTCAGCGTAGCTGCTTCTTCTTTGTGTCAACACGATTGCGAACTCCCTGTTCGGTTGACAGAGAAGAGTACGACTTCCTTCTCCGGTGACGACTCTCATCATTCAGTCAAAACGTTGCCGACAAGTGGACAGGCTCCCGATCTTTTCCGATCGATGACTGGCTTTTATCGAGAAATAGCCGGAATAACCACTCATCTGCTTTCTGTAATTGCTAGCTCTATCCGAACTGTGAAGGGATTTCAGCAATGCATACATCCAAACCTTACCATCAGACCCTCAGGTAGGGTAAATTGGCTGGTCTCGAGCTCGAACTGACTGATAGCTTGACCCGATCGTGAGGCCTTAAAACAAGATGGTGGAAAAAGCGAAAGAAAGACAAAAAAGAGATAGAAAAAAGATGTGGTACACGGTTTGAGTGTTCTCCTTCCATCCGGTTTTTGTGGAATTTGCCTAAAGGCTATCGCGCACTAACGCTCTTAATCACATTTTTCAAAGCGTAAACGTTTTGGCATTGAAAGTCTATGGTGATATTTACTTTTGCTTACTTGCTCATTCTCCTGTTCCTCTGAATCATTTTCCCACTCCATTCTACTTGTTTTCCCTTCTATTGTTTTTTTTTTCGAAAATGACGTGATTATTCAAGAATTGAGCTTAATCCAAAACTATGCCTACCCTGTAATGTGGTCCTTATTATGGTCCTTATCGACATAAGGAAATGCATGAGTGGTCCGAGAGATAGGTCCAAACGCAGGCTGCCACAAACTCACCGAGGGGTTATCCATAATTATGCGATCCTTTGCGCTTGATTCCAACTTCCCTTCAAGAAGGGTATATTACTGCTTTCACGGGCGTGACTCTTTCCACGGAATCGTGAGCCTTTCTAGTGGGCCTGCACTGAGCCTAAAAACTTGAACTACTGTCGTACATATAAGTATGAACTGCGAGAAACAGTGCTGCGATCACTTGGCACGTGGACAATTTCTGAATTCGCCCTCTCAGAATAATCACCTTAGCTTTTGATCTTTCGAGATCTTAGCAAAGATGGGCTCTCAAAAAAGGGCTAAGATGCCATTTTTTAAAATTTCCTTTTATTTTCGTCCTTTCACCATCTCGTTTACTTCTATCAATGAATTATGTAATACTTACTAGTGCAATAGAAAATTTTCATATGACAATGAATTGCAGCACTTCAGTCTACTCTTGATAACCTTTTCCCTCTCAATTACCTATTCGGTAAAAGAAATTAGTTTTCGAGTTTTTTTTTGTCGTATAAACATTGTAAACAAGACAAGACCACTGCAGCCACAGATATGCCATTGCTTTCATGTCAGACTCTGAGTTTCACAAGAATGCTGGGTTGTGAACAAAACTTTCGCCCCAGGCGGGGGTTCTAGTCCCGCCTGGGGCGAAAGTTTTGTTCACAACCCAGCATTCTTGTGAAACATTCGCAAGGCGAACTGCGGCAGCAGTTAACAACAAAAACAAGTTTTGGAGTATTTTTCGAAGCAATGGCAGACCCTCGGCTTGCTCTTAAAGGCAAACCCCGGGATTAGCCCGACTAGTAGGAAGGATACCGCGAGGGAAATTGTAAGGTCCGTACCTACCTAGATCACTCCAGCTTCGTCGCGAAAATTGCGCGGTTAGGGCGCTAATCCTTACGGGCCTGCAACCATCGACCCCGTTCCAACGCTTCCCACCCACCGCGAGATGTGGTGAGATCAGCGTGCATTGATGTAGAGATCAGCGTGCTCTCTCAAACGACGTGCTCTCTCGCGTATTTTGTCTTCTTTGACCGCCCTGTCTCGCCATCGTACCACATCCGACCTTATTGAAGGGTTAAGGCCTTAATTCAGCGTTCCCAAAGATTTCTCTTGCTTTCCTTTCCACTTTCAGGTCGTTCCGCAGCTAAGCTATCACTACAAGCGCTGATAGCACCAGTTTAATCCCGGGGTTTGCCTTTAACAAACATTTATGCATTCTTTGCCTATCAGAACCACCAAATCCTGTGGAGCTTGAGGAATATTTAACGGGCTGCTCATGCCAGAAACAGGGTCAAACATGATCGTTGAGCAACATCACTTGCGACGGAGCAGCTTCAACTTTAATCGCTTACGTACACATTGGTACATAAAGGCGTTAGGTTTACATGGATTCAGTCGCCTCCACAAAATCGCCGCTCAACGCCAGGAACCGGCTTCATATCACCATTTTTGCTTTTATTTACATTTGTATTAATGTCTATTACTTTTTTCTTTTTCTGTTTTTTTTTACATTTCTCATTTTCATTTTTTTTTTAAATTTTACGCCGCTTTTCAGATGGTGTTGCTGTTGATATTCTGCTTTTCCTGTGCGATGGCGAGCACAACGACAGTCTGTCCCTCATCCATTCATACCCGCAAATGGTCACGTCGTCTTCGACGCTCCGGCTCCCTATTTTCTAAATACCGTTGCTAAATATAGGTACGCTCAGATGACATTTTTCAGTCAGCGGTGACGAAACCAGCCCACATTATTTTCTTCAATTGGACTTTGATTCTAGGCCTTCCACCACTTCCAGAAGCCCTTGAGTTCTAGCCACCGTTAACATTAAGACTTTACCGTTGCGCGCCTTATCCTTTGAAAAGACGTGGATCGGGTGTGAATTGTTGTGATTCGCCGAGATTCGATGTCGGATCATACCGTCCCACATGACCTGCCGAACGATATCGTCAATGTGTTGGCCAAGATCTTAAAAGGCATTCTTTCTTGATTAAAATTTATTACACGCTGAACGTACAGACGAGGTTAGCGCATGAACGCTGCTGGTTTTCATCGTCCTCCTCATTGATGGATTTATCCGCCTGATAAGACGGAGAGGAGCTTGAGGCACTAAAATAGGCTGTTCCGCCCATGTGAACTCGATATCCGAAAGTTGGGGTAGGCGTGTCACCGGAAGTGACGTGCACTTGATAGAAGCTATGTGGATAAGCTGCTTCCAACATACATCGCTGGATATCAGCAAAGCATGCTGGCAACAGCTTATCCACGCACCTTATCAAGTGCACGTCACTTCCGTGACACGCCTACCCCTAACTTTTCGGATATCGACTGGTAATGCAGTGGTTGCATCAGCGCATTCCTTATGGATTCTCAAGCAAATTTCTAAGGCTCAACTTACTCATGGCTTGCTCATTACGATACCCATTCCGGATGAGATTGCTCACTCATATAAGGGCAACCAGGAAGTACCTTGCCGTGTGAAGCAGAAAGCTAGGTTCGTACAGCTGATTGAAGGGCCTTCATTGAATTACTTGGCCCCGAAATCTGCTTGAATGCTCAAAAGTACCATCTCAACGTTCACGTGATAGCCTCAGAGAGTCTTCTCGCTGCTTCAATCATTCCCAATCCGGTCTTTACCTCTTACGATTGTCGAATGCATGTTCATGGAAGGCACTGTGCAAGCAGAAATCACTTCGGTACGGTTATCAAGGGCTTCTGTCAACCAAAGGGTGAGAGCGTAGCTGGGAAAGCACACACTTTGTGTCTTATTGGGACTAAGCCTTTTGAAGGGATAAAGAAAGCAGAGATGCTGTGATAGTGTGCACTTGTGAGCGCTTCCAGACGCCACTACAAAACGCTGAACAGCCAAGCCTCGCGGTTGACAGATGTCCTGAGGCCTTGGTCACGCCTCCTTTATTCAACGTGGACCATACCTTCGAAAATGGTTGAGAACGGTGTGGTCGATGAAGTTGAAGGGATTCTAAGTGCCGATTCGCTGTTTCTCTGGACACTTGAACTTCGTTTACCATTTGGAAACTCGGTGTAACCTAGTAATAGAACTGGAAAAGTTCATTCTCAAACTAAAAGAGTTGTATGTCACCGCCGATGTTTCGTCGAAAGGAGACAGTGTTCAGCATGGAAACCGACAATGAGAAGCGCTGCTCCGTAGATACGCGGTGAAAGTGATTAGCAGCGTTGAGACAACCCGCGTGGTCACTACAAACATAAAGATAAAAGGATAAAGCATTTGCCGTTGATCAATCCCTTTTTGGGATGCGGCACGCATTCTACTTCCATTTGTACATTCGCAGTGGCGTTTGAATGCGATGTGGCCTATACAATGACTTGCGGGGGCCAGCCGATGTACAAGTCAGTGTTTTTATCCTCCCAGACAAGTCTGGTACCAATTAACCGACCCCGGAGGGATGGAAGGCTTGGTTGGCCCGGGCGACTCACGACCCAGGATTTGATCCCCGGACCGCTCGCGTGGTAAGCGCGCCACTTGTCACTACACCACTTCCGCCCTACTACAAACATACAAACATAAACAAAGGAAGCCGAGTAACATCCCCAACGTCGTCCAAAAGTGATGAGAGCTCTCTCATTTCTGAAAAGTTTCTAGCATTGATGTCTTAAACATATTGTCACAGAAGCCCGAAAAATGGGCGCGATTTTCAGTTGCGCTCCCGAATTCGAAAAAGTCGGTGGCACCGACGAGAGGACGTGCTCTTCTTCAGGCTCATGGAGCGGTGAAGCACCTGTGTGCGCTATAGATGTGGCCGCTGGCAAACCCGCTTTTCAGGTACTTCACCCTATTTTGAAGTATCACTACACATTTGTACTTATTAATTCTCCTCTCGAAGTACCACTCCAGACTTCAATTGAAAAAAAAATGAATTTCAGTCATCTGGTAGCTCGATCTACTCGATTTCCCGAGGAATTTGCACAATCACCGACAATACGGCTGGATCTTGGTGGTGAGTTTAGGGAGTTCTGAATGGGGACACTATGCGCGGCGCATCCCAAAAAGGATTAGACATCACCTACAGCTCTATTATTTTTCCTTCTATTTCAAGGGAGGTCGATCTGCTCAGTTCCTATTCCGTTCATGGTGTAGCGATCCGACTTGGTAAACAGTCGTCACCCATACTCAACGTGTATCTCATCCAACAAAACGGTGACCTTCGCGTAAGTTCTCTATTTACCTATGGATTTCGTTTTTTATTCAATATTGAGTTTTATTGATATCAATCACTATACTTCCTTACCTTCATTAATCTCACACATTTACTTTCCCACCTCTGAATAACGACTTTTCAAAAGCTACTCTAACATTTCTCTCAAGAATGCTCCTGCTTTCTGCTCCGGGAGGTCATTCGGCTAGCTTTGAGCTCTCAATTTGGCCAATTCAACATGCCTTCATAAACGCCTGAGTACCCCTCCCCCACCCCTCATTGGATACCTCTGCTTACCAACGATGAACTCCAAACCTGCCAATCGATTTTCTGGACAGTTATGAAGCAAAATGGAGCGGTAGTGGTCCACGCTCAAGGGTCCTAGGATCGATTCCCTGGCGGGTGATTTGGCCACAAATTTGCCTCTAGGGGTATTTTATCTCTGGAACACGAATATCACACCTGTCTTCTGCAAAACGTCTGTCTGTTCTATGAGCTCATGGTGCAGTCATTAGCAAGTAGCACCTAAATTTGTAAGGGCAAACTTGTTAAACTTAGCACCCAAACTTAAACTTTTCAAATAAATATAAACCAACTCACAGAATAATGTTCAATTTCGAATACACATCGTTATCGGAATAACAATAAATAAATTAGTTCAATTCAACTTGTTTTTCTTGTAAACATGATAACTTGTTGGGACTTCGTAAACTCTTCCTACGGATAACTGTAGGCATATAGCGCATAGGTTGACCAGGTAGCGTGGTTAGGAGCCTTTTTTGACCGGTGATGCTGCAAAGGTAAGAGGGTGACCCCGTCAGAATCGATTCTCCACTCGCCCGCGAGCCCGGACCACTACCGCTGCTCTATTTTGCTTCATAACTCCGTTCAGAAAATCGTTTGGCAGATTTGGAAAGCAGATTCGAGATCAGCGTCCAAAAACACATCCACAGTGTAGGTCTTATTGCATATGGCCACTTCGACCCACCACCCTTTCCTGGCCAGCTCATTCAATCAATTTTCCAATTATAGCTGATGTGTGAATGCATGGCGTATCTTGGAGGTAGCTCAGTTACTTTTCAGTTATGTGACATTTCTGGTTACGCGTTCTTCGAAAACACTACTGTGTACGTGCATTGCGAACTTGCCGATGTGGAGAAGGTTCGGATTGTGGCCGAGAATCGACTTCACCTTTGTGAAGCACG